ATATCGCATCATACTTTATTATATGGATCCGAGCTGGCAACACCATCACGTAACATAGCTCATTATACAAGAAGCGGAGCGAACATATCATGTTCTAGCATGGTGCCAAAGGGCATACTATAACATAGTGTACCAAAGCATGCTGCGGCAGAAACGTGCATGACAGAGCATACTGTCATGAATGAAATAACGGAAGGGCCGAGGGATATCGTAACATAATACACCGTACGTGAGCCACAGGAACCAAGAGTCACATCCATGAGCGAGCCGACGATGTCTCTAGCACGACAGGCGTCGCGACGTCACGCCGGCCCGTCGACATCATAACATCAGAGAACACAGCGTCACATTCTACATCGGGGCAGAACCCTACCACACACGCACTTTAGCACACCATCTCGTACACAGTAGCCACAACTCGACGGTGTCGCCCAGGCGTCACGACGCCAGAACACGACTGGACAGACAAGAGCATCACATGTTAGAGAGTAGTTCCATGAAGTACGGTCCGACGCTTTTGAATTCAGCAGCCGCGGTAGTGGAGAGGAGCATCACGGCAGAACAGGCCATCACATGACACAGTATTACATAACATATCGTAACACGACAGCAGTGCATATCGACATTGGGACAGGATCGAATTGAACATAACATCGCACACCATTACGCATATACCAGCTACTTCTGCACAGCGTTTTCTCGCCCTGCACGTCAGCCGTGCCGAGGTACGTTCATTGGAAGGTCCACTTCATTGTCTGCCCAGCTTCACCCCGCAATCATCGTCGCGCCACTCCACTTCGCCATCCTCTTCCTCCTCTTCGGTGCGAAACGCTGCGTCGGAGGGACCCCGGGAGGGGTCCAGGGACAGATTCTGAATGCATTTCTCCCCCCCCCCCCCCCTCTTGACCGATTTTCTGGTGGCCCATTCAACGCATGGCCGCAAGCCATAACAACCCAATCGTTTAGGGTGTTCAAGGCACATGCGCGAGTCGCGAAGGTGAAAACCGCATTTTTAAACGGATCCGCCCCAATCCGCAAAGCTCGAGCAAGGCGTTCTCACTGGCGCGCGCGGCGCTAGCGCGAGAGTAACCGGCCTGAAAAGCCCCGCCGCCATGTTTGAAGCGGCGCTAAAGCGCGATATACATATCTAGAAAACGGCCCGCCTTCCGTTTGTGCATTTATTTGGGCAAGGTTAGATTGTCGTGATCATGAACGGTGAGAATTTAAGCGAAAAGCCCGGGTCGCCTCGCCGACGCTTTCCGCGGCGCGACAGTGGGAATTTAGACGTGAAGAAAAGAGGCGGGGGAGGAGGTAAAAGAGGGGGATGAAGAGGAGGGGGTTGGAAAGAGCGAGAGAGAGAGAGAGACAGAGAGAATGAGAGAGAGAGGGAGAGAGAGAAAGAGAGAGAGAGAAAGAGAGAGAGAGAAACACAAACAATGAGAGAGAGAGAGAGAAAGAGAGATATGCGGAAAACGAAGAACGGGATGAGCGTAAGCATGGGGATGGTAAAACAAACAGAAGGGCGAGGAGGAAAAGGAGGGGGGCGGACGGAAACAGGAGGCCGAGGTCTAGGACGGAAACGCAATTTTTTTTCAGCCGGTGCTCCCCCTCCTTCCATCCCAGATCGCACGAATACGGGCGACAGAGTTCCCAGAGGGCTCAAACCACCGCGGAATACACTATGTTCACGGATTGCCTGTCGCTGCAAATCAGAGGAGGAGGCGAAGAGGGAGACAGAAGGCGGAGGCAGGGGATGAGGATGGTAATTTGGATGGCAACAAGAATATTATGATGATGCTGGTGATGATGATGATGACGATGATGCTGATGGTGATGATGATGATGCTCATGATACGGAGGAGGATGATGGGGAGGAGGAGGAGGATAGGCGGATTGAATGGGGACGCCGAGGGGGAGACAACACAGATTCCATCTGCTTTGTTCCGTCCATTTTCTCGGATCGTTCAAATACGGGCCAAGAGGCTTCGAACAATCACCTAATATGGCCCGAGCCATCATGTTCTCCGAGGGTCCTCTGGGAACATGATCGTCGCCGCCAGTCTGGGAAGGAGGAGGTGGAGGAAGAAGCGGAATGGGGGGCAGAGGGCTGAGGCTTGGGATGGAGGTGGCAATGGGGATTATTAGAAACAGGGAGAGATTGGACGGAATGAGGACACTGAGGACGAAGATGAATCACTCCGGCATTTGGAGCATCTACAATACCAGTGCCGGGCTGTTTTTCAATGTCCTGACCTTTTCAGGGTAGGGGATGACGCCGGGGCGGTGTGGTGTATTTTCTTGTTTCCCGAAGAAACAACCAAACATGTATACACCAGGGCCCCGCATTCATCAGGATCCTTTGTCTTGTTTGCAGATTTCAGTGCATGGCCAGAAACACGTCGGTGTATAGAGTTCGGCTCCGTTTCGTAACCCCTACTCAGCCCCTATTCCCTCCATCCTTCTTTCTCATTTCGTTCACAAAGAGGCCGAGAGGCCTTTCAGAAAACCGCAACACGGCCAAAACCATGCTTCCGTATAGTCGGAGGCGGAGGCGGATGCCGAGGAGGGGGAGGAAAAGGGGGGCGCAGGCAGAGGAGGCTGAGGACAGGGAAGGAAAATAGTACCAACATAATGAGGAGGCCGAGGAAATGGAAGAATCAGGGATCCCTGTTCATCCGCTGATGCGTCCGTCCTTCCGTTTTCCATTATTTCGTTTGTTGCCTGTCCTGCCTCCCTGTTTCCCTTTTTCCCTCCCCTTTTTTTCCTCTTTCCTACCCTCCCCCCCCTCCGCGATCATGACTACAACGACACCGACGCCGACGACCCAATTCCCGCGCTCGTGGCCTCCAGGGTTGCACGCTGGACATAAGAGTGGATGAAAACAGCGATTGTGAGGACGAAGATGAGGTTGCTCGAGTTGACTAGAAAAAAAGCGCGCATAGCGAACGCGTTTTTTGTTGTTGTTCTCCATTTTCCTTCTCTCTCTCTCTCTTTTTTTGTCATTGCTTTTTTTTTGTCTCTCTCTCTCTCTCTCCCTTCTCTTTTCTCGCCCTCTCTCTCTCGTTGTTTGTTGTTGTTTGTTCTCTTTCTCTTTGTTTCCCCCTCCCTGTCTCTACACCTGTATATGTGTATCTATGTAGATGTGTATATATACATATATGTAGATATATATATATGTATATGTGTATATATACATATATACACATGTATATGTATATATATATATATATGTACATAAATATGTATGCGCACGTACACATTGATTGAGCCAAGGGAGCCCCAGCCCAAAACCTCGACCGCAAATTCGGTGTTCCTGGGCCCGGCTCGGGCCATCCGGGACCTGGGCCCAGGGCCGCCTTGGGAGACTGGGCCGTGACCGCCAGTGGGAGTCCGTGGGCCCAGGCCGCCACTGGAGGCCTCGGACCCGGGCCCTCCTCGGGCCCGGCAGCTGCCCCGCACTTGTTGTTCCTATGGGCGTCCTCGTGGGCCGCTCCAGGGCGATGCCAGGTGCGCTCGAGGCCGCGCTCGGTGCCCGGAGGTTCGGGTCCCCTCCGGGCCATGTTTTTTTGGGCGATCGCAGACATTCGAAGCAGTGGCGAAGCGTCCTGGCTCGCCTATAGCCCCACCAAACAATGTTCTAAGAACTTTTTGTGGTTCCCACGAAATGTTCTTAGAACAGTTCTGGCTGGGACTGTCTTGGTTTGACACATCGGGTTCATGTTCTAAGAACCTTATTTTTTGTTCTCAGAATATTTTTGGGTTCTAAGAAATCGTGGTATGACTATAGGAATGCTGGGACGGTCGGTCCCTGCTCAACAAGGGGGCGTGGATCAGCGACGGGTCCGTTTCCGTGGCATTTCGCGGATTTCCGCCGCCGAGCGGGGCGGCACCGCGACCGGCTCGCGCCAAGGCCATGGATTGCGAATCAATGTCTGCGCTCCCCCGACGCAACTGGGGGTCCGTGGGTCCAGGTCGCTCCTGGGGGCCTCAGATCGGCGCCCAGACTGATCGACAGCGGCCGCTGTCGGTTTTGGACCGCATTTGCCTGTGGGCATCGTGCCCATGTCTGTCCGTACCTACTTCAGGCGTCCAAATACAGCTCCGGTCGCGCACACACCCAGAACTCAGAAGAGGGAGGCCTATGAATGCCGCTACGTACCCTTCTCTCGTCGCAACGGCTGGATTCGCCTCGAAATGCTGGTAAGAACACACCCAAGGAGAGGTCCGTGGAGAAGCGGTATTGGTTTCGTTGTGTCCCAAAAACTCGGGAGGAGGAGCGAGAGATAATTTTTTCAGGAGGGAAAGAAACACACAAACACAGTTCATCGTCGATTCCCAGGAAAATATGGGAAATGTGGGAAGTGGGGGGGAAGACGAACACCTAGAAAATAAGGGAAAATATGGGGAGTCCTGTTATTTGTGTTTATTTATGTGCGTGTCCCTCGGCTCCTTTAGTATTGGGGAGGAGAGTGGGGATGAAGGGCGCTGGAGTCGGCCCGCCTCCCGCGTGAGTAGAAGAAGGAGATGCCAGAGTTGGAGTAGGGAGAGGGGGGGAGACGGAGACGAAAATTGGTGAAATTGTAGAGGAGGACCGGGGAAACGTAAGACTCGAGTGAGCCTGAACTCGTGCTTGTCGACATTTTTTGACGAGCGCGGCCTGGATTTTGACGGTCCAGTTGCCGACGGATGTTTGCAGGGGGAGTTCGCGTCAAATTTCAGTTTGGGTCTCGCCATTTTTATGGTGGCCCCGTCAGGCGAACCCGAGTCCCCCGTACCCGAGTCTTACGTCTCCCCGAGAGGAGGAGGAGGTTGATACGGAGGGATGAGGAGGAGGTAGGATGATGGAAGATGGAGGGTCATGAGAATGACAAGGAGCAGGGCGATAATGGCGACGGCGACGGCGAGGTCGAGGATGATCTGCAGGAGGAGGATGAGCGGGAGTTGCATCAGCCAGAAGAGAGGCGCGTCGTGCATCCACCTTCTTGAGTGTCTCGCGCAAGGCCGCGTGGCAGGGGTACTACTTGTGGTGCGGCCGCAGATACGAGTTCTGGTGGCTTCAGGCCCGGCAGCCTTCTACCTCCTCTCCTTCATCGGTCTTCGCCTCCTCCCTTTTTGCTGTCTCTCTCCTCTTTCCTGACCCTTCCACGTTCTCCCTTTTCGCCCCTTCGTCATCCTTCCTGTCGCACTCCTCCGTTCTATCTTGTCCTTTCTGCTCCCACGCTCTCTCTCTCTCTCTCGCTCTCTCTTCACCCATCAATGTCAGCCCGATCTGGTTTTTATCGCTATGCTGATTCAGGCCACTGCTTCTCAAATCATGATGCCCAGTGCAACGCACATCTGAAGAGGCTTATGCAGATGTTGTCGATTTCAGACGGATGCTCTGACTAATTTTTGCACTGCCAGACTCGTCGGCTTCTGCAGGAAGCGGGGAGGGCATCCTGAGTCCCATGGTGTCAACGGCTAGCATTCTTCGAAAGGGCCTCAAAGAGCAGAGCGCGAGAACTCTACACCTTAGGCGATGCTTAAGAAAACTTGAGTTTTCGACCAGAGTCTCGATTACTCTTAATGTTTCAATGTAACTCCTAAGATGTTAATAGAACTGTTGGGTTTTTTTTTATTCAAGTTCTGAGACTATGGATTTCTTAACCCATGATTTCTTAACCATTTCGCGTGGTGTACACTCGGCTGGCAGCTTGCCGGATGCAGGCCTCGGCATTTCGCATCTCTCGGGGGAGCGTAAGACCCGGGTTTGCCAGGACTCGGGTTCGCCATCGTTTTTTGACGACCGCGCCTCGGATTTTGACGAGGAGGAGTTTCGTGGGATGTCTGCAGCGGGAGGCCTCGTCAAAATGCAGGCTCGGCCTCGTCATTTTTTTGACGACCTCGTCGGGGATTTCCGAGTCCCCTGTACCCGGGTCTTACGCCCCCCTGAATCTCGAGATGGGCTCGATCCTGGCTCTCGGGATCTGGGCTCGAGGACCACTGGCTTCCGGCCGGAGCTGCGTGCTTCCGGCCGGCGCCGCCGTGGCGTCGACCCTGGGGTCGGCGACGCTCGTGTGCGCTCCTCTTCCTCCTCCCTCCTCCTCCTCCTCCTCCTCCTCCCTCCTCCTCCTCCCTCCTCCTCCTCCCTCCTCCTCCCTCCTCCTCCTCCTCCTCCTCCTCCTCCTCCTCCTCCTCCTCCTCCTCCTCCTCCTCCTCCTCCTCCTCCTCCTCCTCCCCTCCTCCTCCTCCTCCTCCCTCCTCCTCCTCCTCCTCCTCCCTCCTCCTCCTCCCTCCTCCTCCTCCTCCTCCTCCTCCTCCTCCTCCCTCCCCCTCCTCTCCGCGCAGTCGCCCCCCGCGCCCCCCCCCCCGGGCGGCGCGCGAGCTCGGCACTCCTGCGGCAGGTCCGTGCTCGGTGGCAGGCGCTCTCTGGCCGGCCCGCCCCGGGCCGGCGGCGGCGCGCGTGCCACGGCGCGCTGGCGCCGCAGGCTCCGGCCGGACGTCCGCCCCATCAGGGCACCATGCGTCCGTAGTCAGAGCCGGGCTGGAGTTACCCCGGATACTTCGGGCTTTCAGAGCCCCGAACCATCATGTGTAACTCGGGCCAGGGCTAACTCGGGTTCGCTTTTCGGGATTCCGACCCCGAGTTACGCCGGGCTGGAGTTACCCCGGATACTTCGGGCTTTCAGAGCCCCGAATCATCAGGGGTAACTCGGGCCAGGGCTAACTCGGGTTCGCTTTTCGGGATGCCGACCCCGAGTTACCCCGGGCTGGAGTTACCCCGGATACTTCGGGCTTTCAGAGCCCCGAATCATCAGGGGTAACTCGGGCCAGGGCTAACTCGGGTTCGCTTTTCGGGATGCCGAACCCGCGTTACCCCGGGCTGGAGTTACCCCGGATACTTCGGGCTTTCAGAGCCCCGAATCATCAGGGGTAACTCGGGCCAGGGCTAACTCGGGTTCGCTTTTCGGGATGCCGAACCCGCGTTACCCCGGGCTGGAGTTACCCCGGATACTTCGGGCTTTCAGAGCCCCGAATCATCAGGGGTAACTCGGGCCAGGGCTAACTCGGGTTCGCTTTTCGGGATGCCGAACCCGCGTTACCCCGGACCCGAGTTACCCCGGATACTTCGGGCGCCCAACGCTTGCGCTGCATGCTCCGGCCGGACGGCCGCCCCACCGTGGGAGCGCAGGGCACCATTGCATGGTCAGCTGACGTCCGTAGACGCGCTGACGGCGGTGCAGGTAAAACGACGCGAAGATCGGGACAAAATCGGATCGGGGTACCTCGAAATCTCTGAGGATCGGCGGGTCTGGAGGAGGTATCGGGCGCCGCGGCCGCTCCAGAGCGTTCCGGAACGCTCTGAGAGCACTCCGGAACGCTCTGGAGCGATATATATATATATATATATATATATATATAGATATGTATATGTATATATATATATATATATATTTATCCCGATCCTAGCCTTGTTTTACCATGCATGGTCAGCTGACGTCCGTAGACGCGCTGACGGCGGTGCAGGCAACGGCGATGCAGGTTTCGGCATTGCGGGAACGCGCGGCTCGCGCTTTCCTGCAATTCGTTGTGCCGTTTTCGCTCGATACATCCGCAGGTCGGAAATCTAGGGAAGTGTGGTTCGTGATTTCCTACGATTCTGTTTCCAACATCACCGTTGAGCAGCATCGCCGCTAGCGCGGCCTTGGTAATTACGTCCCACGGAGAGCGAGAGGCGCCACTGGACATCTCGCCGCTCACCAAGCTGCCCCAACCCAGCCCGAAGGCCCCCGATTTGCCCTCCATCTACAGTGGGGCGGCTTCGGGGAACAGTGAATCAGCACATGCGGAACCCGTACCGCCCCCCCCCGTCCGAGATTCGGGTCTTTGTGTTGGGTTGGGCTGGTCTGGTACGCCTCCAACTTGGGACTTATTTGCATTTTGCGTGCGTCATTTGTTGCTGAGTGTTTCTGGGTGCATTCTTTGAGATTCTGAGGAGTCTGAATCATTCAAGGTTGAAGTGATTCAAATTCGCAATCAATTCAATATTGAGTGATTTCAGTCGAGTCGTTTACCTTTGCGCGAGTTGTCACGACAAAGACCTACCGTAGGTGGTCAGGACATCTGGGCAGGCTCCTGGTGGCCCGAGCTCGTCGCGCACAGCAGGCGGCCGCCACTCGGGCGGGGCTGCGGCAGGGATGCGTCGTTCCAGAGCGTTGCGGAACGCTCTCAGTGTCATCGAGAGAGTCATCGAGAACAAAGGAGCCCCTGATCCGAATCACACGATGAAGACGCGGCCTTACTTAGGTCTCCGTCTTCGCATTAGGGATGGTACATCTGGGCGGTTTGGTCTGAGACATGTACAGAGAAGACCCCCCCTATCCCTAATGTTCCTGGCCCTCCTAGCTAAGGCCCCCTCCCAAATTGTTAGCGGTACTTCTATGGCTTATCACAGAGCGTTCCGGAACGCTCTGAGAAGGCCGCGGCGCCCGACACAACTCGGGGGTTGCTAAAGGTGCCCCTGGCCCACGGTGCCCCCTCTTTTCGGTCCATTCTGGAGCCCCAGGGGCCCTCTGGGCGTCGTGGGGGGTGCTCTGGAGGCCGTGGGGGCCTCCGTGGAAATCCTGGAAGTACAGTCAAAAACCCTGATAAGGACGCGCGACTTTGTCCAGGGTACCCTTGCGTCCTTGCTCTTCCTCGCTCTTGCGTCCTTGAGGTTTTCGTCGTCCGCCGCCCCAAACATCCCAACTTCGGCTTCGAAGGGTCTTGCGCCCTTACCGCGCGTCCTTATTAGGGTTTTGGACTGTACTTTGGGCCAGGGGCACTTCTAGCAGCACCCGAAGATGCTTCAGGACCGCTCCTGTCCCTCGGCGGCGGCCACCTGCTTCGCAGCCTCCCGCCCGCGCGGGGGCTGGGCTCCTCCCGTCTCCCCCCCCCTTCCTCCTCTTCTTCGTCGCTGTCACCGTCGTCGTCCCAGAGGCTTGCAAGTTCTTCAGGAGGGAACGAAACACACAGACAGAATTAATCGTCCACTCCCAGGAAAATATGGGAAAATATGGGAAGTGGGGGGAAGACAAAAACCCAGAAAGTATGGGAACAGATGAATCCTTTTATTTGTGTGTATTTGTGTGTCTCTTGGCCCCTTCAGTTTTGTCAAGAATCCAATTCAGATAGGCTCTTGCATGCTCTTCTCTGTGATTGCACTCCGCATATTGTGACCCAGTTGCCGAGTCTCCCGGCAGGCTTCCGCTATTTCTGTTGCTGGTGGTCGTGTTTTTTTTTTTTTTTTTGTTTTTTTTTCTTTTTTTTCTCTCTCTCTCTCTCTCTTCCCTTTGCTTTCGTTCGGTCGGCTTCAGTTGATCTCAGTCGCCTTGTATATCGACTGTTGCTGCACCGGCGAGTGGAAGGTCTGGCCGACTCACGCGCGCGGCCTGGGCGCTATCGCGCACTAATGGGGAGAGACGGAGTGGGGGGGGCGAGGAGGAAGCGATTGAGGAGGGCTGGAGGAGGGGGCAGGGGGAGGGAGGAGGGAGGAGGGGGAGGGAGGGAAGGGGGAGGGAAGGGGAGGAGGAGGAGGGAAAGGGAGAGCGAGGAGGAGGAAGAGGAGAGGAGGGGGACGGATGAGGGGGAAGGAGGAGGAGGAGGAGGAGGAGGAGGAGGAGGAGGAGGAGGAGGAGGAGATGGGCACCACAGGAGGACGGAGGAGGGGGGAGGGACCCCCCCCGCACCGCGTCCGCACTCCGAGGAGGGGGGGTGGGGCAGGGGGGGGCTGCTTTGTCCCAGAGGGGGGGCTCACTTTATCCCGGGGGTGGCGTATTTTGTCCGGGGGGGGGCCTACCTTGTCCCAGGGGGGTCTCCCAGGAGGGGCCCATTTTGTTCCAGGGGGGGCTGTGCTCCCGGGGAGGGGGCCCTCTTTGTCCCAGGGGGTGGGTCAACTTTGTCCCCGTGGCCTCGCGCTCGCCGTCGCGCGCCGCCGCGCGCCGCGGCCGCGCTCGGCGTCCTCGCGTGCCGTCGTCCTCGCGGGGGCTGCTCTCCAGTTCGGTTCGCTCGCTGGGTTGCGGACCCCCCTCACTTTGGGACG